TTTTTAAAAATGTGGTCACTCAATCCACGACTGTTTGTGAGACACTGCTGTGTGCAACTAGCTGCAACATTTTGTCCACAAAGTATAACAACAACACATTTCATTTGTATAGCACCTTTCACGTCAAGAGGATGTCCCAAGTTGCTGGACAGTCAATTAACTTTACGCTATATTCTGTGAAGCGCTTTGAGATGTCTTAGCAACGCGATAAGGCGCTATATCAAATGCAAATCTGGATTAAACAGTTTTTGTAAACATCTGAACAATCTTATTTTTCAGACTAAAGAGTATTTTGTGATGGTTGATTTGTTATGCAAACTCCCCTTTCTTTAGGTACACACTCTTAGAAGGAAACTCCCTGAAATAGCTTTCTTTCCTCCTATTCACTTCGTAGTTAAGTTTGAAAATTGACCCTTAAAGCAGAATAGCGATCGAATTTTTGCAATAAATTTCTCTCTCCCAAGAGAAAACATCACCTCAGCTCAATTGTTAAGATCCAATTTAGGCCAGAACTTGTGAATCAAGTGCTCTGGGATGCTACCCTGTGTGAAGGGTGCTATATAAATGCAAGTTGTTGTTGTGATACAGTTGCTTAATATAACAAAAAACTATTTGCTCAGACTGACAGTGCATCTTTTATACTTTATTTAAAAAAAACATATATTCAGTATTGATTCATCTACAGCAGGAGGCCAGTTAATTTGGCTAAGCACAGCAAGTAGGTTTCCTCATTTCCCTCAGGCTGCTCACCAATTGGGCACAGAATGGCTTGGGGAAGCGGTAAAGTGTCAGGGCTGGGTGTAAATGAGAATGGGAGAGAGGGAAGCTGGGAATATCCAGTGAAGCAAGTTCGTTGATTGCAGGATGAAGAGTCCTGAGTGACTTGCCACATGCTGAAACTTTAGGCTTTTATCCGTAATTATTAAGAATCGCATCCGTTGAACGCAATGGTTGGAAGCATCAATGTGTTACTGATTTGCCTCAGCTGCTCACAAAATCAAAATAAGGTTCTTAGTGCAGTATCAATTCATTAAAATTAGCATGGGTGCTCATTGCCATAAAGTTCGCAATTACAATTGTTATTCTTGTTATTCTTTTAATTTACTTTCTCAGCACAGCTAATGGGAAACTGCAGAGCCTGATGTAAGTTATTATAGATTCTAAATCTTACCCTAAGCAGCACAATTCTGATAATAATGGCCTGACTGTGAACCAGAGTATAAAATGAGATTCATAGCTGTCCCAAATGGCAGGGGTACTCAGGAGACATTTCATTGTGTAATCTCAGGAAGCTCTCTGATCATTTCCAGTCATTTTTTAATCAAAGGATAAATGTCACCTTTTGATGGCTTTTAAATAACGTTTGCGTTTTGCAATGGAGCAAAGGGAAAAATACTCAGCAAAGCATCGGCCGTTTCATCCTTAGGACAGAGGTAATGAATGTGGGTTGAATAGCAGGAGGCTCACTTGGCATGCATGTTTTCTCCATGTTTTGAATTGATAATAAATAATAATCCTTGCATTTGATGTTTCATCTTTGATTTCAGGAGGTTGTCTCATAGGTTGTAATGTAAAGTGTAGTGACTGCCTGTTCAGTTGACTGTGCGTAATGGCCATCAATCCGCTTGATAAATTAATTCCATAACTGTTTGTGGGACTAGTTGTGAACCAATTGGCTGCCAAGTCAATCTACAAAATAAACAGTCACAACACTTTATAGCAAATCCTGTGAAGCATTTTGAAACATCCTCCTGAAATCAAAAGTGAAACATCGAATGCAAGGATTATTTTAATTATTTTGTAGGCAATGTCCTACGAATAGTTATGAAGTCACAAAAAGTTAGTATGCAGGTACAGCAAGCAACTAGGAAGGCTAATGCCATGTTGACGTTCGTTGCAAAAGGGTTAGAGTACAAGAGTAGGGAAGTCTTGCTGCAGTTGTATAAGGCCTTGGTGAGACCGCACCTAGAACATTGTGTGCAGTTTTGCTCTCCTTATTCAAGAAAAGACATACTCGCCTTAGAGGGGGTGCAGCGTAGATTCACTAGGATGGTTCCTGGGATGAAGGGGTTGACCTATGAGGATAGGTTGAGTAAACTAAGCCTATATTTTCGACAATATAGAAAATTTAGAGGTGATCTTATAGAAACCTATAAGATTCTTAAGAGTCCTGACAGGGTAGATGTTGTGAGACTGTTTCCCCTGATTGGAGAATCCAAAACTAGGGTTCATAGTCGCAAGATTAAGGGTCAGCATTTTCGAACTGAGTTGAGGAAACATTTCTTCATAAGATTAGAGCCCATGGAATTAAAGGTAATATATTAGCATGGATTGGAGAGTGGCTAACAGGAAGAAAACAGAGAGTAGGGATAAACTCAGATTGGCAGGATGTGACTAGCAGAGTGCCACAAGGATCAGTGCTTGGACCTCAATTATTTACAGTCTATATCAATGATTTAGATGAGGAAGTAGAACTTAACGTATCTAAATTCGCGGATGAAATGAAGATAGGTGGGAGAATAAGCTGTGAGGATGACACACAAAGAATGCAAAGGGAAATAGACAGGCTACGTGAGAGGACAAGAAGGTGGCAGATGGAGTATAACGTGGGGAAGTGTGAAGATATTCACCTAGGTAATAAAAATAGAAAAGGGGATTATTTTCTAGAGGGGGAGAGACTAGGTAGTGTTAGTGTTCAGAGGGATTTGGGTGTCCTTGTACACCAGTTACAAAAAGTTAGTATGCAGGTACAGCAAGCAACTAGGAAGGCTAATGCCATGCTAATGCCAAGATTAAGGGTCAGCCTTTTCGAACTGAGTTGAAACATTCTTCAGAGGGTAGTGAATTTGTGGAATTCTCTACCCCAGAAGGCTATGGATGCTCAGTCCTTGAACATATTCAAGACTGAGGTTGATAGATTTCTAAAGGATAGAGGAATTACGGGATATGGGGATAGGTTAGAAGATCAGCCATGATCTTATTAAATGGTGGGGCAAGCTCGAGGGGCCGAATGGCCTACTCCTGCTCCTACGTCTTATGAATGATCAATTTATTTGGTGGATTGGTGGCCAGGACACGGGGAGAAACTTGCTTCTCTTTTTGAATAGCGCCATGGGAGATGTGGCCTGGGTTTAATGTCTCATTCAAAGATCGGCACCTCCAACAATGCAACACTGTACTCGACAATTCAAATGCCCTCTTCGCTGGTCTCCCCAGTTCCACCATCCACAAAATCCAGTTGATCCAAAACTCCGCCACCCACATACTCACCTTACTCACATACTAAACTCCACCACACCACTTCTAGTCAGTCTCCACTGGCTCCCTATCACCGAAAGCTGATCGATTTCAAGATCCTTACACCCGTTTCTAAATCCCTTCATCCCCTGGCACCTCCCTACCTCTCCGACTTGTTTACCCCCATCCCACTACCGGCTGCCTCCGCTCGACTGGCTTCGTCCTCCTGCATGTCCCTTGGCCCTCCTTTCTACCATCAGTGGCTGCACTTTTAGCCATTACGCGCCAAAACTCTGGAACACTCTTCCTCTAATTTCACCTTGCCCCTCCTTTCCCATCATCAGATCAAGCCTGAAGACGTTCCTATTCGACCATGCCTCCGGTCACCTTTCCCTCCCCCTGGCTTGGCATCGTGCTCCGCCACTGTCAAGAGTTCTAGGAAGCTACTCTGCGTAAGGGACGCGATAAATGCAAATTGTGTTGTTGTCAGTTTAAACTATGTGTTCAGAGTCCCAAGGTGGAACTTTACCCAGAACCTTCTGATTCAGAGGTGAGGGTGCTACCCAATGAGCCAGTTTGAAACAGTCGTGTCGAATCGTATGGAACTGAAACACAGAGACAAGGCACAGTCTTGAACACCTGAAACGGGTGCAGATTTGATGGGCTAAATAGCATCCTTCTGCAACGTAAATTGCTATGATTCTATGATCACAGAAAGTGAGAAAATAATAGATCGCAATGTATATGTTCTCAGTAATAGTTTTTTGCCTTTATCTTGGCCTTCATTATTCATGCTAAGGATAATTTATTGGCACTAAATACTGTGTTGATATCATGGTGGGTTCAGTCACTGACTCTGAGGAGGAAAGGTTATGTAAATTTTACAGAATTAGCTTGAGAGCAAGTATGACTTAGGCAATCAAAATGTAAATGCTCCATATGGCGTAGGTGTAATAGTGGATAAATATTTGAGGGAAAATAATGCGGTGGAAAGTGCACTGTGTGATAATTAACGCATGTTCACTTCAATATTAAAGGCACCTGGGAAAAAGCAAGGGAGGTTGTGGAGATGGTGTCTACGTTGTGTAGTACAGAGTAAGATTTCTTAATAAGGAATTCAACTTGTGCATATGGAACTTTTTTCTGGTTATACAATACAATAAGACCGTACAATTTACATTTATATAATGCCGTTCATGTTGGGAGAATCTCAAAGTGCTTTTTGGAGTTGACAGGGTACCCGAGGGGGTGGGAAGAATACTTGCATTTTTAGAGTGACTTATCATCACATGAAATGCTTGACAGACAATCATTCTCCTGGGTTGGCTTGTACTCAGTCTGACTCAGAAAGTCTTTGCTGTGAGTTACCTGCAGAAATACATCAGCTGAGCAATGCCAGAAGCAGCAACTGGAACCTCCCTGTGACAGCAATGCTGCTTTTCCACAGCAGTGATACGTTTTGAATGACACTAAAGATCATTGCCAGTTGCAGGAGAGGAAATAATTTTCACGAGTAAGAGGATCATTCCATGGGCCAATTTGAAACTAAAGATATTTGCTAACTTAAATGACACCCTTAATCTAACAGGGGCTTTTAATGATTAGAAAATAAATAGAATATCTGGCATTCACTGCTTGCTGGATAAATAACGTATTTTACGGTATTTCAATTGAAACAAACAAAGTCCTTTGAATCCTTTGGAAAATGCAATTGATCCTGAAGGATCACTGTAGAGTGATATTAGAAATAAGAGTTACCGTACCTGTCTGTACTCCTCCAAGTCTGTTTTGTTGCCAACTAGGACCACGGGGATATCGTATGTGTGCCGGACCCGATAGATAAGCTCTTTGAACTCTGCGGCCTCCTGAAATGATCGTCGATCAGTGATAGAATAACAGATTATAAAGCCCTCTCCCCCTCGCATGTATTGGTCCCTCATGGCTGTGAATTCTGCCTGGAAGGAACAAAGTAAAGAGAAACACATGGATAAGAATTCAGGTCAGCAATGCAAGTCAGGATGCTGGTAACAGGCTTTGGCCTCCCTTGTGTACCGAGCTACTGCGAAATATCACCTCACAAAAGCAAGGAAATGTCACCCTCCACAATGTACACAGTCATTTCACTATACAGTAGATCCTGTGAAACATTTGACATATTCTCCCTACATGAAAGGCTCTATATCAAATGTAAACATTATTATAGTGTTATTCAATTCAGTTATCACTGCCAGACACAAAGTGTGTTTCTTTTCTAAATAAATAACCCTCTCGTCTTTATATTCCAGTGCCATTTAACCCTTAGGGGACTGTTCATTAGCAAATTCACTGGGTATGAGCGAGTCTACCATGGATTGCTCATGGTTAGTGTCAGGAATCCCCGTTAGTTACTCTGTCATGATCAGTCAATCCCATTGTGAGCATTGCTTTTAGACCCTAATATCCTGTCATTTATTTAAAAAAGAGAGGGTCTTCAGATCATTTCAATGATCAAAACATGTTAACCCTTGAGGTCTTAGTGCTTGATTAACTATCTCCCCCCCACTCACCCCCATACACACAGACATAAATTAATCTGCTGAAGCAATATTTGTTAATTTAATTTAAAATTCATACTATTTATAACTGCATTTAAATTCCGGCCAAATCTGTTCTCTAACATAATCAGCTAATTTATCGAAGGAATTAATTATTGCGGTATCAGCTGCTAATTTTAGGCACCAATTATACATATCATACATAGCCTTTTTTGCTGGATGAAAGTATTTGTCTGTATTCACCCTAGGCTGTTCCGCATGTACTTCTCTCGGGTGCCTACAAAATAATTACACGGTCACTACACTTTAGAGAAAATCCTGTGAAACGCTTTGAGATGTACAACTGACACAAAAGGTGCTACATCAAATTATTATCTAGGGGTGTTAGATGCCAATACCGAAAGCAAAAGTAGAAAAGTGTCTGTCTTTGCATTGAAATAATAATAATCCTTGCATTTGATATACCCCTCATCACGTCTTCGAGACGTCTCAAAGCACTTCACAGAATATAGTGTAAAGTGAATTCAATGTATATTTTGTAGGAAATCGCGGCAGCTAATTGCGTACAGCAGTGTCCGACAAACAGTTGTGGATTGAGTGACCAAATTATTTTTTCTGAAGGGTTTATACGTTAGATTATTATTTAGTGTATATTACCATTCTATTCACAATAATTGGGATTATACTGGTCAATTTTTGCCTTTTAGGATTACGAAGAATTATTATTTTATTATCTTAACATAATGCCAAGCAGTGAATGCCAGATATTATGGCATTATGTTAAGATAATAAAATAATAATTCTTAACAAATGTATTCCTTTTCTGCTGTGCTGACTCTGCACTCCTGTCTGTGAAATTCTCATGTGCAGTTCCCAGTGCCTGGTCTGATGCAACTTTCATAATAATAATAATCCTTGCATTTGATATAGGGCCTTATCATGTCGTCGAGATGTTTCAAAGCACTGCACAGAATATATCATAAAGTGAATTGACTGTATATTTGGTGGGCGAAATGCGGCAGCCAATTGCACACAGTAGAGACCCACAAACAATCGTGGTTTTAGTGAGAATTTTTTTTTATATCGTGCTTTTGCCCACTTCCCACCTCCCCTATTTTCCGCCTCTCTTGATTCCAACCCCCAGCTCGAGTGCAAACCCTTACTTGTGCAGCACCTCGGGACATCCTCCTGATGTGAAAGGCTCTACATAAATGTAATTCTGTTGTTGTTATTGTTGTCGTTATTGTTGGAGTAAATGACAACGTGTCAATTTGATCGCCGCAGATTCAGTATTGATCTTTAATCTGTCAGCCCTCAGAGTAGCACGACAGCTGGGAGAGTGAAGGCCCCACTGCAACCCAGCAGCTCGGCTGAAATCAGACGTCCCCATGTGGGAAAGTGCAGACACCAGACCGGGCCACATATGGCTCACAGGTGGTGTAAAAGGGTCGCTTCAACTAAAGACATTACGGAGCTTCTGTGGCAACAAAGGACCACAGATTTATAAATATTCATTTTATATTGAACCCACTGCTAAGGATGAAATCTTTGTGGTCATGCACACTTCACAAAAGCGGGATATTTTTAGAATGATATTTTTGCAGCTGTTATATCAGGAAATGCATCATGCGAAAGATGGGAAGGAAATTTAGCATTCACAAAGCTAATCTCCGCTGCTGTTTGAGATGCGGCATTAGTTTTTTCAGCATCTTCCACCTGACAGCATAAAAAGCTTCAGCAATCCGTGGTTAAATATAGTAAGCTGTTTTCACTTTATAAGAGCACTCTGTTAACAAATGAGCTCTCTGATGCGAACGTAGCTATTATAGCATTTTGGAAGTAAATCTCAAGCATAATTGAACAGTTACTCTTACTGCGACGACAAGATTGTAAATCAAATGCTGACCCATCCCACCTTATGTCCGTAGGTCGACCAATGCAAGTGTGTGGATGGCAACATTCATGTGTTTTTGCAACATCATCATTGATGCCTTGGAGCACTGTGAACTTGTCTGGCTCAGGAACAGAACTTCCAAGTCCATCACAGAGTGTTATGTTGCTTTTCTCTTGACCCTTTGGTCCATTTGATTTCATACGTCACTTTGGAGCCAACTCCGCTCAGAGAGACTCTGCTTACCTCTTTCCCCTTTCCCTCCCCCACCCTCCTGAACAAATGTCACAAGTTCAGATCTGAAAAGAAACTAGAAGAAATTCAGATCAATATATTTCTAATTTCGGTCCAAAAATCTCATAGATAAAAAGTGGTCGTTCACATCATGGTTGTATTTGGGGAACTGAGGTAATGAGCAGATTGGCTGCCTTGTTCACCTCCAACACTCTATGTTAAATCCTGTGAAGCCCTTTGAGACATTTCGACAATGTGATAACAACAACTTGCATTTATATTACACACTCTGTCAAATGCAGGGTTTATTGTTATCATAATTTTACTCATTACTGCCTGTTTGCATAGTGCAGAGGGATTAATAAAGAGCTGAACAGGGTACTACACTCTACATTATTATTATTATTACATGCTTAAGCCTTAGTCTCACATGAATTATAGGTGGTGGGGTCATCTACACTTGTAGAATAAACATAAAGTAACCTCACAATTCATTCACCTCTTATTTATTTGGATGGAATGTGTCAAGCTTCAACCCATTCTCAGACATTGTCATTGCACAGATGCGATTAATGGATCATTACCGTGAAGACAAATGTCACCACAACCAGTTCATAATGACAAGCCATATATTTTAATGATTCTTAATTACAATTATTTCCTGGGATTGATTCATAGCTGCGGTTTTCAACAGCCCCTAAACGTAGGTGAACATCATTTTTAAAAAGACATTATTGTGGATGACTACCTCAGATGCATTCTTTATTTTGTCATAAGTGGGCCCATAATTCTTTCTGGGAGTCAAGGGTGATGGGGCAGAACAACACAGCTGGCAAACTGCAGCTATATGTATGTCAACAGTGTTGACGCTAAGAAATCCCAAACAATCGCACGTTTAAGAAACCATTCAAAAAGGATGAAATCTGTTTTTAAACATGCTTTGTAATGGGGTGAAAATTGTCACGTTACTTAATGGATTTGATATGTTGTTGAACTTGTTACGAAATACTACAAGTGCAGCCCTTCGACAACAGTCACGGTTAGGTTCGAGGCCAGTCTGCTTTCGCCACCTCCCTACCCAATTTTTCGAGTGTCCTCCAGTTAAAAATAAAATCCAACAGATTCAAAACTCTGCTACCAGTATTCTGATCCATGCCAAACTCTGCGCACCCATAACCCCAATTCGTGGCAACCTCCACTGGCTCCCCATTGCAGAACAGATCAATTTCAAGATCTTCACGCTTACTTATAACTTAATGTCCCAGTACTTCTCCCCTAACTCTCCGACCTGCTTACGCACCACACCTCTATCCAACCTCCTTACTCAACTGGCTCTGGCCTTTTATGCCTGCGTCTTCTCCACTATCAGCGATTGGTGCTTTCAGCCACTGCATATCGAAACTCTGGAACTCTCTCGATCAATCCCTCCATCTTGCCTCCTCCTTAACTGTCTTTAGATCACACCTGAAGACCTTCCTCTTTGACCGTGCCTACAGACTCTCTATGCCTGGCTCAGCATCAAGCTCCACCAGCTTATGGTGAACATTTATTTGTACTTAACTTGAAACATGATTCTAACCAGTCTGATTCTAGTAAAATCATATCTCCACCAGCAAGAAAAAAAAATCTATCACTCTAGCTTTGCATGTACTACAACAATATGAATTGAATTGACTTCTGACTTGCTGTGTTGCTTTCAAAACAAGACCGCACTCAGGAAGCCACACTCAGGTATATACTGCTTGGCTTCTTTCTAGTGCCTTGCTTTAAGTTTGCTGAGAGCAGTAAGGTGATTAGGAGCAGGAAACAAATAGCATTTAATATAATAATCCTTAAAGAAAAATAATTTTGTCACTCAATTCACGACTGTTTGTGGGACAGTGCTGTGCTCAATTGGCTGCCACCTTTCGCTCACAAATATGCAGTCAATTCACTTTACAGTACATTTCTGTGAAGCGCTTTGAGACGACGTGAAAAGCGCTTTGTCAAATGCAAGGATAATTACTATTATTTATTTATATTTGTTGATCGCTCCAAAATCTCATTAGTTGGGTTAAGGAGAGCTCTGTCGAATCCCAGATGAGTTGCAATGCAGACTCCGAGAACTGAAATTTCACCAAGTCTTAGCCTGCAAGTCCATTTTGTCTTAAAATTCAAGACTGTGGGAAATTCTTAAATTCAGTTGCAATTTGGAAACTGGCTTTCCACACGGTTCGTAATAAAAAACGCTTGCTTCGAAAATAAGACCAAATTTATAATAATGAAGAATCCTTGCATTTGATTTATCACCTTTTAC